ATATTGGTCTGTGTCATGATACTAACATTTCTCCTTGTAGCTGAACGAGTATATATATATATATATATATATATATATATATATATATATATATATATATAAAACTGTCATGTTTTGTACATACAGTTAGATGCCTTACGTATATGTCTCTTACTTCTAGTTTACGTTCCACAAATGCATTGTGCTTTAGAAAAATACTCACACAAGCACACATAGAGGGCACGTACATGTAACCCTTAATAGGAAGTGTTCCAGAGGAAGATGATATGGTGAATGTTGACTGAAGAGTGTCAGCAATATGGCAAGGACATCAAAAGCAAGACTCCAGTTCTCTTCTACCACCATCTGAAGATATTGTATTCAAGGAAGATTTGCAGAATATCAACTGTCACTTAAACTAATGTCACAATGTATTTGCACAGGAAAAATTATTAAATCGATATTTTAGTAATGTAACTAGCCTTGTGCAATGGTTTTCCATGGTAGCAACATATACAAAGGAGTTATTTCAACATCTGAAGCTTTTTACAAACTACATTACCCTCTCAAAACACAGAGGGAAGGGTAGCCTTCAAGCAATGGTTCCCAAGAAGCAGCCATCCTTTGACTTCTATTGAGTGTATCGAAAGAAGAAAATCCAAGCTATAATAAACGTTGTCTATGATTATTAAAGTATAAATTGTGTTGTAATAATTGAATATGCAACAAGTATTAAAATGCTTTATTGTATGCTTTATTGTAGGCTAACATTGGACCCCCAGATCTTGCAAGAATACCTAACCCATGATGTTCAGTAAGATGTTATATGTAAATATCTAGGGTGTCATTGCTAACCATAATTTTTCTTTAAAAATGAATTTCACACTGGTCATGGTATGATGTACTTCCAATCTGGATACTGAACATGTAAATATGGTTTGCAATTCAATGCAGAAATTGCCTTCAACACTTGATATGTTTGAGTTCAATTATATGTTTCACTTTTGTCTGTGACATGTATTTCCCTTCCCTGGGTAATACTAGTCATCTGGTTCAAACCTGTTAGTGTCAGAGTATGACCTATCTTCTAGTCTTATTATAATAATGAAGGCCCCAGAATGCTCAGTTATCATGTCCTCTATGACTAATAGGATCCGTTGATTTCCAGTAATAAAAAAAAAAAAATCACTCAGTGTGGACCTTTCAAGCAGCTAGAGAAAACTTATCATTTGGTTTTTTTTTTTAGGTTTTTTTGAAGGAACGAGTATCTGTTAGATTCCTTTTTATATTTATTAAGTATATATGATGGGAGTTTTTGCCCATTGTTTTAGTTGTCAAAAAACAAAAAGTAATCATTAATCAATGTTTTTTTCCCACCATTTTCTTAGGTTAAGAACCCCCCATCAATACTACGTAGAGTGTGGGGATTAGATAGGAAAATATTTCTGGTCTGTAGCTAGGGGTAGCTTAGTAGTAGGTGGGTAGGTTAAAATTTAAGAAACAAGTGATTGTAAATGACCTTGTTTAATTAGTCCCAGGGAGCCATAGAGTCATAAAGACAACTGAGCAAATCTTATGCTTTTATTATTTTTAATGGGGCCATAGAACTGTGTATCCTCTAGTCCTTATAATAATTGCTATTATTATTGTACCAGAGGATGGTCAGTTCTCTGGCCCTATAATAATAACAACAATAAGCATTTTCACCGGCTGGCAGAAGTAGGAGCCACTCATAAGTTCCTTACTCAGTATTTCTCCACCTCTGGCAGCATCATCAGTCATCCTAGAACGATAGGTACAGGCTGGCTAGTGTCAATTATGTGCATATTCCTTGCACAGATGATCATTCATTGGCTAAAAGTGTATAGCTGATGCTCTCCAACAATGAATCACCAGAGGGCTGTAGTAGTAACGGTTATGATTCTTGGAGTAACCCAATATTGGCTTCTTCCATTTATCCCCTCTTCCAAGTTTCCTATATTTACTCTACATCAAGTCAAAGTTAAATGTTTAATCCACTGTCTCAGTAATGCTTTGGAAAGAAAAAATTTGAATATTATTATCCATACTTACAGGACATTTCTCCCCATGTCCATTTCCATGGCAGAATCGCTAATGTTTTTTTTTTTTGGGGGGTGGGGGGGGGTTGGTTGAAGTAACTCTTTAATCGATTCTATAACAGGTGCTAAAATGTAGTGATCACTATTAGGGTTTTTCATTAAAATAAGAATTCAAAGGTACTAAGGGGTTGAAACATTGCTTTTTGGTTCCTTGTTCCAATAAGTATTGCCTTTATATTTGGAATTTGCTGGAGTGCCTGGATCATTTCTTCTATTTAAATTTTATGCTTGGTCCACCTGGTACTGGGACTTGTCCATTGGAGCACCCTGAATTCCAGGACAAAGGATTGAGTGCGCGACCACCAACATATGTTATAAAGCTATAACCTGTCTGACCTATATCTTACTTAGGCATTTCCCTATCCTTGCAGAGCCCATTCTTGCTTTTATTACCAGTGACGTCTAGCCATATCTCTTTTCTCCATCATGTATGAATTGTAGAGCATAGGCAATACCATGGAACAGTGTTATAGAGGAGATGTAAAATACATCTCTTTCACTCATATAAACACAGCAGGAAGAGGGCTCACTAACTCAGAAGACCCAGTCTCATCTGGAGCATTTGACCATGTTTTCATGGTTATGCAGTGTTTTTCTCCTCATTGAAAACTTATTAGGTTTATTTTATTTTTATATTTTAAAGAAAATATTCTGTGGCTTTCTGCACAATAGCTTTTTTTTACAAAATTTCTTCTTGATTGGAAAGTAAACACTGTACTTCAACCAACGAGAGCTCAATGTAAACTGAGTTGTTGACTTGACTCCACCATCACAGCCAAACACTGCTCTCCTATTATCTTCAAGTATTTCAAAGCCATGCTAATGGAAAAGGGCTTAAATAATAAGAGGAAGGTTGCATTATTATTATTTTTTCTGGTAGAATTAAAGAGATTTAAATTACTGTGATGCCAAAATCTATCATTACACTAATGATGTGTTGGAGCTCAGAGTATAAGTAGAGTGTCTTTTTAATCACAATAAACTAACAGTGTACTCCATGGCACTTTATGTGAGAAGTCTAGCCCAAGAACCTTAATGGGGCCTTGATCTCTCTACTAGCTTTAGAGCCAATAAACCACACATCATATACTTAAGGCCTGCTAATACTTGAGCTTTTGTTATACAGCTCCAGTTATCACACTTACATGGGCCAAGAAGCTCCTTCAGAAAAAAATATAAAAAATACCTCATGACTAATTTTCTATTCAACTGCTTTTAGTACTAATGTGCAACACAGTTGTATTATCTATGGGAAAGATTTATTAACCAGTGTTTATTGTTGAAAATCGATCAGGAAATAGCAATACTAAGTTAAAAAAATGCAATTCTGAATTTCTGCAGAATAAACTGTATAGTGAATACATGCCTACATTATAATTTGAAAGTTCTGAATTAATTGCATAGCTAAATATACAATGAGAAAACAGCCTGTATTAAGAAACATAATATAGAATTAGCAGATTTTTTTTTTTGCTCTGTTTTGAGACCTTACAATCAGGCATATTTAAGAAAATAAATCCTTTCAGAATAATAACTGGAAAAAATCCCTTTATTCTAATGATAAGAGTGCTCTTGGGTATGTAAATGTCAAACAATGATCCATTAGTATGTAAGGTTTAGGCAAATGTACCTGAAAATGGCAATTCTTGACACTACACATATATCATTGTCATATGCATACATTTATTTATCAGTATATGATCACACATCTGCCTTCACATTAGACCTGCTCTTGGAAGATGAAAACATGCATTATGATTGCAAACTTTACCTAAAAATTAATTATTCTGCTATTCTGGCTTTCTTGAAGGAAACATTAATGTGTACACTTAAAATGACCTGCATATTTTTATGCATTACACATGCATGCATAATAAATATGGAAGAAAAAAAAAACATTTTGATAGACTCTATTTACAAAACACAAAAAATACTTTTTTTTTTTTATAAAACAAGACCAAAAACAAAAAGAGTAAATATATTAAAATCACACCACTAAATACGGTCATATGGCACAGTTACCTTTACAGATATTTGTTAGGCCTGTTATAAATTTTGTATGCCATATTTAATGAGTTTACTTAGGAAACAAGCAACTATGATAGAAGGGAGTCCAATTTAAAAGGTCATGGTGATTTAACACATCAAATAAAGTTCTCTGGTTGCAATAATCTGCCTAAGAGATTAGCACACTGCATTCGGAAGCTGGCTAAATAAAATAAATAAATCATCAAACAGATTTAGCACACTACAGAGCTAAAGCTTCAATATTTAGCCCAGGAGGCATTCATAAGAGCCATAGAAAAAAAGCTGAAGGGAGGAATTGTATACAAAACTGTCCTACTTCTCAGTCATGTAAAAGATATTAATGTGCTTCTATGGTGTTCAAGTCTTTTATATTACATTTTATATTATTACAAATCATTCCGCTATTGTATAGAATATCTCTATGTAACAATAACAAACCTAAATTACATTACACCATGTTCCACTTCCATTATTGGATTGTTACATTTAAAAACAGATTTGATCGTAGCAAATTATAGACATACTAATGAAAATACATTTTTACAAATCTCCACGGATTACCCTTTGGCTCCTGGACCATTGAACACATTGCAGTTTCACAGCATATTTATCGGTTCACCAAATAAGTTATTAATTTGGCAAAAAAAATCCCCGGTAAGTGCATAAAATTAGCTATATGATCGTATCCTACGGGCGTTCTTTCCCTGCATGCCTACTGAGACCTTGTTCTCTCAAGGTCATCATTATTCTTCAAATTTAGAAATGTACAAGAATACCCATAGCAGGAAATTATGAATTGACTTAGTATGCCTGACTTCCTTAATAAAGGCTCCATAGATTCATATTTACATTTAATAAATAAATAAATGAAGACAGAATTGTGCATTACATTATCTGACAGCATGCTAACTTTCCTTGACAGTAAATAATGGCACGATTGTTTTATTTTTAGTTTACATGTTTATTATGCTGCCAGGACTCTGCCAAATGAGTAGTCCAGAAATGTTTAAAAAGACAGAAATATTAAAACACATTGAACTTGTATCGAAGAACACATTTACAGGAGTTTGAGTATGAATGCTATAGCTATCGAAATTCTTTATTCTTAGAATTTACCCAAACTGGTAAATTAATTGGTCCACTAAAAATCCCCAACATCATCAACCCAGCACACATGGTACCAGCTAATATTAAAAAGGATCCCTGGAAGTGGATGTGTCTTTGGATTTTGGACACATCCCTGGAAGTGGATGTGTCTTTGGATTTTGGTTTCCTGTGTATTTCCTGGCAATTCATCCTTATTTTGAATTCTATGTATTTGCTGATTGGCTGATTGCTTATACTGTTTCATTTTAAAGCCATTTACATTCATAAATGACTAGCATCTTAACAGTAGACGTATTCTGTATAGCTTACGTTCATATAATATGACTATATTTTAAATGTCACCTTTCCCACCATCTTGTTCAATGCCTTTTAAATGGATTTGCCATCACCTGCTCCCATGAGCTATTTAATGTGACATAGGATCTTTCTAGCAGAAATAGCTCCAGCTGTTAGAAATAGATGTCTCCAAGGAGTCACTTGAGGCTGTAAGTCTATAACTGATCATTTCACGAAGAGACTGCAGAGGACAGAATATGAATATATCATGCTTCTAAGATATACATTAATGAATGGCGGTATAGCTTAACTACTTCATTACTTTAAGATCTCTGTTTCTAAAAAGAGATGAATCACTAATTTGGTCTGTTTGGGCACACTGAGCACATCCTACATAGATGTTTCTGTTTGAGAACACATCTCTTCTAGACTGGAGGGCTTCCATTAATTTCTGTTTCCACCTAAAGACAGTTTATTAACCTCTATATTCTCAGAATTATGAGATATACATTTAACTTTCAATTCCTGACAGTTATTAATATGCACCTCTCGAGGGAAGGAATCTCTCCTGTATAATTACTATGCACATCCTTGATTTTATTTAATAGTTCTTTATTTTATCGTGCATTAAAGGAAAAGCAACAAGCAATGCCACGACAGCGATTGCAAGCATAATGGTCAACATATTAGCGACCTTTGAGTGGTATAATATAACATAATATAACATTACACATTTTATATTTTAATGTAGGTTTAGCAAGAGTGGAACTAACATGTCAGCTGTGAGATAAGACAAACAGGTTATTCATTTAGCATAAACAAGCTGGTAGTTTTGTGATATTATGGAGCCACAAGCTTAGCCGAAACATAGCTTGTCTGTGCGCAGCCCAGAATAATTCAGCTAGACCATTCGCTGAATCTGCCCAAATTCTAAAATAAAATAATAAAATAATAATACTGAACATATAGGCAACTGGCTTGTTCAACATGTCTAGAGACGTAGTGGAGGATTAGCTAGATAATGCCTTAGCAAGTATGACTGAAAACCTTGGTGTAGCCACAACAAAAATGTGTTAGATATGCACATATGATAGTAACAGTATGAACATGAGTGGATTATCAGAGTATTGTCGCAGGATGTACACCGCCCATCTTAGGGCATATTACTTGCTATGTATATGGGGAATAGCTTATGGTAAATCAGTGATGTCAGGGTTAGGTAGACAGCTTAACACCATATATAGTAAGGTAGGGGTTAACCACCGTTAAAGGGACATCGAGTCTACCTTTTGCATGCGATAGGTATGTTATTGCAGCATGCTCAGCTTAGTGATAAGTCGGCCCCAAAACAATTAAATTATAAAACATGCCATACTGCACGAAGACAGTAATAAGGAATAACCCCCCGGGCAACACTCCCAAAAATCATAGCTACATTGGCCATGGAGGCACAAGATTTCCCGACAAGGCACCTTATTTGTGAGTAGTAGTAGTAATGATTACCATAAAAAGAGTAAACATAAAAAGAGTAAACATTAGAAACCCAATAAGTTGCAGCAGCAGACAGTTCAGTGGTGGGATAAGGGTTAACCCCGTCCAGAGAGTCCATCTTCAGCCTATTCCCCGGTTGGGAGAGGCGTGGAGGCTGTCAGGGGGCATTTCAAGTCAGGAGTCGAGCGTGGGAGCCCTCCAGCCCCGGCCACATACTCGGATTTGCCAACACAAGGCCAAGTCTCTCCCTTTCAAAGGACGGCAGAAGCTCCTGGTGGTACGTAGCCGCCAGCGGCGGTGGTACTTCAGCCTCCATGGCAAATGCAAGGGTATTCTATCCCTGGTGGTCTTATGCCCAGGAGGGCCTGATGGAGTATTTCCAAATGCTTGACGGGGGGTGCGCCCAGAGGGGACCCGCTCACCTCTTGCAGGTCGGTGCGAAGCCCTGTCTCCTGTAACTTGTGCGATGTCTCCACTTCATGAGCCTCCATTTTCACCCAGAATCTTGCCAGGATTGTGTCTACGTTAAGTGTTAGTCGCTCAAAGGGGTCTGGCCTGGGTCTCGCCGGGTGTGATTTGTTAGGCTGTCTGAAATCGAGTGCAGCTGCCATTTTAACCATGATTGCGTTAGCTTGAGTGTGTAGCAGGTCAGCAGCATATAGCCAGCTGGGTCAGAAGGAGTGTGGCAGGGGAGACAGAGATGACTCCCACCGGTCCAAAGGGGGGGGAAGCCTGTCGTTGGACTCACTCTGCCAGGTAAAGGACTCAGAGAGCGGCCGTCTCTCTGGAGCCCACACTTGTGTAGGCCGCAAGCCTCAATGGCAGCGTTCCGGTAGGTGAAGCGCCAAAGTTTAGTGTCACTGGGTGCGCCGTTGTTCCCTTGACTAGGACAATGTCGGCACTGGTTCAGGTGAGGAAGCGGCCTGGGTTTATCGTCGAATTTCTTACCTGGTTTGTGGAGCTCAGGCATGCAAGTCTTGTCAGCTTGGCATCCAGGCTCCGCCCCCACATCCGTGATTTTTATCTCTGCAGTCTTATTGTTCCTCATCTCAGTTTGATTTTATACTCAATCATTGGTCCCCATTTTATGATGCCCTGATAGACAAAAACTATCCTGGTTATAATTTATTGGGCTAATCAATGGAATTCCTGTTATGAGGTAAAAACTATTTTAATGTGAGGAATAATAAAGGAATGGACCGCAATATCTTATACTTCTACTGTCTAGTGCATTTCTTATCACCATGCAGGGTGGAAATAAAGAGAGTTTCTGTAATTTACTCAGATGTGACAACAGACGCAGAAAGATTTTCATCTTGATCTTGCAGAGTAACAGCATACAAATCTCTGTGCTAAAAAATTATCTTTCACTTCCACATATGAAGTGCAATGTGTTTGGATTGGTTCCATGGACATTCTCCAAGGGGTAATTGAAGTATGAAAAGACATTACCCGTTTGCACAGTGAGAAAATTCAGTTTGGCTGAACCATTTTTTCACAAAATAGAAAAATTTTGAGACGATCTAATTCGACCAATCAGTATACTGCAATATATTCATAATATAAATGTATGAATATATTTTACAGTACACTGATAAGATCATTTTCTTGCCATTTGGTTCACAGAACAAACGAGAAAATCTAACAAATAGAGAGAAAGACAAGGGGAACAGTAAAAAAAACATCTAAGTTTATATATTATTTGTTTATATGATATATATGATATATAAATATAGATTTAGTTTACTGCTCTGTCATTTCCCCTATATTTCTCACTTCTCATTTAAACATTTAGTGACTGTCCCCTAGCCTTCAATCTTCTTTTTTTCCCATTGATCATCTTTTTGTTTAGTGTCACAGGTGGAATTCAGAATCACAAACATGCTCAGGTTTGTATGGCTCACTTGGTCTGTGATTTGGGAGCATTTCAGCTTCAAGATTGGGAATTCAGCTAACCCAATTGACCAAAAAATCTTTAAGTCTAAAAGACTTACAAGGATAAGGAAAGTTACAAAAAGGGGATGTAGGGGTAAGGAGAGACACAAAAGAGGTTTGTGGGTAAAAAAAAATTGAAAACGCGATGCAGAGGTAAGTAGATGCACAAGAGGTGGTGAGGGGTTTTGGAGAAACACAAGTCGTGGAGCAACAAATTCTTCTTTGGGTGCCAAATACCCTAGGTACTCTGGCCTATAACATTCAAATTGTTGAAATTTTCTTCCAGAGAAAATCCTTTGTTTCTGACAATTATAGATGTGATGGCCGTATGTTAATTCATTGCTATAAAGTTTTAAGTAGAGATAGATATTCTTTGAACCAAGATGACATTGAGGACTGACAGATGTGATCATCAGATATGAAAATATCAGGTAGTCATAGTAAAAGAGTTCTCATGGGGTTTTGTGTTAGGATTATAATCCACAAATCCACAACAACATCACATTCTTCAAATATATCATGCTTCTCCTTTTCAGAACATTCCAGTAGGCATCCCTCATCTGCTCATCACGTTTGAACTCTTATGACTAAATATACAAAGTTCACATTAGTCTTCTCTTGCCCCCTTGCCAACTAATACCTGTACTATGGTGGTGCTCTATTCTTGGAACAGTCCACAGTGTGTATAGGAATTGTTGTGATAATTGCCTAAAGTAGATTAAGAAGAAGAAAAAGGATGACTAAAACAGGAAGACTGTGTGCTTCATTCTGACTATAAAAAGGGGATTCATTTATATCACTGGGAAAAAAAGATTTTATAAGATTCCCCAAGCAAGCCAAGATATGGGGACTCCTCAACAGCATGGTTATACTTACTGCATCATCAGATGTTAAAAATAAGACATTGACAGTATTCAGGTCCTATCCTGATGAATGCATTTTTTATAAGTATGTCTTATTAAATAGGATTGTGATCTACCTATATAATGTAATTCATGAAAAAACAACATTGTACAGAAAATAAAAAATTTTTAATGTAGCACAATATATTTTTAATTGAATGGAATTAAAAAATGTCAGAGCACACCCTAACAAGGGGATACTGATTTAGTAAGATCCATATTACAGTTTAACATGTTTGCAAAGAATTCTAATGCAAAATTGAAGATATAGACTGTGACTGAAGACAATGAATTGATGAAAAGTCTAGTAAAGGCCTTCACAGGCAGCTGTCGCAAAATTAGCAAAGCAAATGTTCTATGAACTTGGCCATTCAATCACTGCTGTGATATTTATGTCCATCTGTTGAAGTGAGCTTCTTCCTGCTGCTGATGTTGTGTTCAGCATGGAAAGTATGGCCCATCCCTACATTAATCACACTGTGTTTAATTATTTTCCATCATCTAAATTTTGTTTTAGACTTATCTTCAGATATCAAAAATGAATCTGAATTAATATGAATTGTGAATTAATATCTATTGTAGATATGTTAATTGTAAAATCATTTTATATATTTATTTCAATTAAGCCAATCTACAAAAAATTTTTTACAAGAAATAAGACTAGCTTAAGTGATATTAAATATAGTTTCAAAAAAATTCAGTTCATTAAAAAAGTTATGCGACTGTAATGTGAGAGTGCTACACTAATATCTATCTACTCTTTATAGGTCAATGAAAATAAAACTTAGAATTTCATACTTTAATTTATAATGCTTTTGTGTTCTTTCAAATAAAAATGTGAACATCCCTGTTAACTATGTAAATAGATAGATGAACCACTGTAGACTACATAGTAGGGCTTCTCAAAAACGAGTGAGGCACCAACCCTGGGCTGCATGCTTCCAAAGTCTCTGCAGATGTTAGAGCCGCAGTCAAGCAGCCCCCACTGTGAAATCTCTAGGAGACCACCAAAGCGTGAATTCCTATAAAGTGTCAAGGAGACCTGGCATGTCCTGAGCAGTTAGGGGACCATATATAATATAAATGGTCAAATGGAGTGAGCTATTTTTATTTATTGCTCTTCTTTCCGCAGCCTGTAGAACAGGAAAGAGGATAAGTCACTTGCTGGGCCTCACCTGTTTTTTTGGGGGGACTCCCAAATGACCTCGGTTTTTAAATTTTATTATTAATTATTCTTATAGTGATAGCTGCCCATCAATCAATTTTTTTTGTCAGTCAGTCTTGTAGTGCTTTATAATGTGGAAATGAGGACGACTTGCCAATCACTTAAAATTAGCATTTATCGAGATTAATTTGAAACAGATTGCACAAGTTTTATTTCAGTGGCACTAAAATGTACATTATATTAAAATATACATTGGGGTTTCAGGTAGTGCAGACATTCTAACAATCCTAATTATTAAATTAATAATCATAATTATTCTATATTTGAGGATGTATTTTGAGGACTTTTCCTCTTTTTAATGAGTCAACCTTATTCAAACCACATTCAAATATTGTGTATTCCTAAAATTATATATTTTTTTAATTAAAATTAAGAATTTTATCAATGATTTCATTACATTAATAAAATTTAATTTGGCACTATGATCCTCTTTGGTAAGAGACTGCTGCTCAGCAAACATAAATCTTACATTTTGGTTTCTGATTGTTAATGCTTTAAAGTGCTTGTTATTGTAGAAAACTTAATTTCATAAGATGATGCGGAACTGATTTATAAATTCCTCATGAATGGGATTTTACTGTTTGTCCTCTTATCGGTATGTAGTTTGACCTTGAGATCTGTTTTATTTGGTTGAACTGCCTGTTTCTAGTACGGTAATTATATTAGTTCTGGTCGTTGAAGCAGAAGGTTTGGCAGTTTGATTCCAAACACTCAGGCGAACTTATTTCATCTTTGATATGCAATTTCAATTTGGATGGCCTACAGGAATAGAAAGACTAAACAAGCCTTGGCTGTATGAACCTGCAGTAGAAAGATTCATGATTATAGCCAGTTTTAGAATTGTAAGTATATTAATGAAGAAATTAAATCAATTGTATTTTATCCCCAAAAAAAGAGCAAAATATATTATTTTGATTTTAAAGTAATTACATTGGCATTCAAACAAATACATGTTTATATCTAAATATATATATATTTTTTAATGCATTTTAATTTGAAGCTTCTCTCTTTCTCTTTCTCTCTGTACACCTTTGGATATGAAGGCACAAATGCCTGCTTTTCTGACAGCAATGTGAAGCATAAAAAGGAAATTATTTTTTTACTATACATGGAAGTGCACTATAAGGCATTCATTGTATATGCATTGTATAAAAAGAAAATTGCATATGTGGGCATAAAAATATGATGATCTTTATCAGCAGAAACACCAATTTTGTTTTAATGTTTTCTATAGAAACTACATTATGCTGTCATAGGCAGCTATTTTGAAATTTTATGTGCAGTAACCCTCTCCCTCCCAACAATGGGTACAATGTATTGATTTAACTTTTGTATTTTACTTTGCAAAGCAGTGTTCTATAGCAATATTCACTCTATAAAGCAGTGGTGTCAAACCTGCTGCCCTGGACTGCTAGCAGCGCGGCCCGGTTGCCGTCTGCACTGCTGGGAGGAGAGTAAGTTAAAAAGCATCTCCTTCGTGTGCCCTGCAGTGAGCCGGGCATTGGGATACGATGTCATCCCGGCATCAGCATCACTACTGGGTGCGCAAGGCAGCAGCAAATGCTAGCCACTAGGGACCGAGAAATCATCCAGCCCTCCCAGAGCGAGGTAGGGAGGCTGGGTGGACATCTTAGGTCCGAAATGTGTATGTATGTAATTTTTGTGTATGTTTTGTGAGTTATTCTGTGTGTGTGTGGGGGGGGGGTTAGGGATCTTGTGTATATCTGTGATTATGTGTTTGTATGTATGTGATTGTGTGTATAGGTGTGTGTGGGTCTCTGATTGTGAAAAGGTTTGTGATTGTATGTGTGTGTGGATCTGTGATTGTGTGTGTGTATGTATGTGATTGTGTGTGTATTTGTGTGTATTCATCCGTGATTATGTATCTGCGTGTGTACATCCGTGATCATGTGTGTGTATATGCCTGTGACTGTG